GGGGGGGGGGGGTCTCCTTCTCCACAGATGCGGAGGCTCCTTTACCAAGAAATTTTATGATGTTGCAGTGAGGAGGAGGTGACTTATCTCGTCTAGGTCACTTATTATTCTCGGCCTTTCATGAGATTGGTTGGGAGGTCAGTTATTATTCTCTTCCTTTCTTCTCTGTTACCTGCCATATTGGGATTGGTTCACCCAAAAAAGGAGATTTTTTTCTTGCTTTTTTTATGTTAGTGATCCGTGTTAGTTGTAGATCTAGAAGAAACTAAAAATTTAACTAGAAAATCCCCACAGACGGCGCCGAATTATTTGACCTAAAGGTATAATCCTTGGTTCAAATAATTAAATTTATGTGATAAAGGGTTAAGCCTATTTAACAATAATATTTCTAGATGCGAGTTCCGAAGGCGTGATTAACATTAGACAGATCTGGTAGCGATATAATAACGACGTGCAATAATCATTCCAAGTAGTGTAAGCAATAATAGAGCATTTAATAACAATGAATAACAATAAATGACATTTCAATAAATAGAAGGAGTGATTCACCCAATAAAGGATGAACTAGGTGGTTGTTCCTCCTGACAATGATGAGTGACAGATAAATCCTTGAACGTTCGAAATATTCTCGGATCCGATGGAAAGTAGGGAATAATTTGGACAAGAATCTTGATGAAAAGGTTCTGGCTGTATCTTAGTAAGAGAGAGAATATTTAGCCAAAAGTTTGTTCTTACAGATGAATCTCACGTGCCTCACATCATTGATCCCCCTTTCTATTTATATGAGACATATTTCTAATAAACCCTAATAGTACAAATGCAGAGAATGTCACTAGAATATTCCCTTTAACATCTTATTTCGAAAACTAGCCGTTACAGTTTCATCAGCGATGTTCGACCGCGACCATTATCGACATCTCGACCATGACTCTTGTCGACTCTTCGGATATGAGCATTTCTGCCTCCTGACCTGGACTAATGGGTACTAAAGAATTCTTCCTTTAGAGTAATCTTATATTGAATATTATCTGGTAGATTTCTACCCATACAAAGTGGATATCGCTACCATTTTTTATTACCCAGTTCAGGACAAAAGAAGTATATCTTTTGTATTATTCAGATACTTCCAATCTTTGATAGACAAAATTTCAATTAAAACAATTCCATGATTAAGAGTGACATTTTTGTATGGTTAGCTCACTAGCTAAAACCTATAGGATCTGTGCTATTTGATGACAATGAGTATGATAGGAAATTGCCAACATTATCATTTAATCCATATGCTTATACAAAGGTAAAAGTAAAAAAAGGGATGTGCTCCTGTGAAACGAATTATGTTACGGAGATATAAATATTTGTGAAATTACTTGATTGTTTCTGCAAGTTATAATAATTAAGTTTATTTTTAGGTGGAAAGCATAATATTTCAAGATTTGCCAGCAGGAGCTGGATTCTCTTATGCTACTACATCAAAGGCAAACCATTCGAATAATATACAAACATGTGATAATGCTTATCAATTTCTTCGCAAGGTAAGTGTTAAGTTTAGAATTTTAATAATGATCAATAACCCTAAAGAAGCCTAGATTAATGTTATATTATTGTATACAGATTCCGGTGAGCAACAACATTGATAAAAGGAATGAGGATCCTCTCAACGACTATGTATCTTGAACCATTTCCTTACATGGTAAATAAATCAGTCATCCTAAGAAGAAGGGAATCAATCATTCAAGTGTGCAAAAATGGAACAAATCACGGATAGACAAATCAGTGTTAACCAAGATCCTTAAATGTGCTAGAATGGAGAAAATCACAGATAGCAACCAAACCCGCAAGATTCAGCAGAAGCTCAAGCCAAGAAAGCTAAAAAGGAATGACGAAAGCAATCCGCCAAGATTAAAGCAATCAATCAAGATTATCTCCAGTCAAGGAAGCAATTTCTAAGGAAAGAGAAACAAATTTAGCTACTATTTCAAGCTAGATTCATGAGGCAACCCTTAGGTCTTTCTCTTAGAAGTACATTCCTCACAAGGAAAGGATTCCTAGAATTGCTCTGTACAATCCCAGAAGTCAAGGAAGCAGAAGACTCATTAAGCTATAAAGGAAGAAGCATAAAGATATTGAACTTTACGCAACCACAAAAACTGTTATCTAAGCCTTTCTAGTTCTTAGTACAAACACTGTATTCCTGAGTCTACAAGTGTCACAAAAGATAGAAAGAGTTAGAACACAAAAGAGAGTTGTGTCAACATTACAAAGATTACAATTGCTGAATATCATTGATTGTGAACACACTAAAACCATCACCTTTGTAATCCTTTATCAAAGATCTAAGAGAACCCTTGTGACCCAAGGGAACTGGACGTAGGTACCACACCAGTACTAAACCAGTATAAAAACTGTTGTGCCTTCTTTACTTTTCTATTAATCTATTTCATTCTTATTGAAGTTGTTCACTGTGCAAAACCTAGTCGACTAAACTCACACTTAGTCAACTGGAATTTTAATTGGCTACAATTCACCCCCTCTTGTACTTTCAATTGGTATTAGAGCAAGGATCACAAACTTTGCTTAACAGCTAGTGAGGAAAAGATCATGGGATCAAACATAGTCGTCGGTGCACTATTTCAAGAAGGAACCTCTCAGGTATGACCTCCATATTTCAACGGACAATACTTTTCTCACTGGAAAGTGCGTATGGAAACATACACTATGTCATATGACATCAAAGTTTGGCGTGTCATCAAAAAAAGAAATCTTCCAATTCCGCCAAAGAAAGATGAGAATGGTCAAGTCATAGTATCAACTGATCCACTTGACTTAGATGATTACACTGGTGAACAAGCTGCTGTCATAACTGTGAATGCCAAAGAAAAAAAATCTATTGTATAATACTATAAGTGGAGAAGAGTATGAAAAAATTTCAATCTGTGAAACTGCTAAGGAAATATGATATAAATTGGAGGTCACATATGAAGGAACTAACAAGGTGAAAGAAAAAAGGATCAATCTTCTAGTTTGTGACTATGAGCTATTTCAAATGAAAGATGGAGAATTAGTGGAATGTTCTCCAGGTTCAGCAAAATCCTTGGAGATCTAAAATCTTTTGGTAGAGCAATAAACAATAGAGAACATGTCAGAATTTTTTTTAGAAGTCTACCCACAATTTGGTCGCCCAAGGTTATTGCTCTGGAATGTCAGGACCCTGACAAAATGTCCTATGATGAACTTAGAGGTGATCTAATTGCCTTTGAGAAAACTCACTTGGATAGGCAAATTCAACAAGAAAAGAAGAAAACAGTTGCTTTTAAAGCAACTGTGGATGAACCAGAAAATGAAGAGGAAGAGGAAGGGGAAGGAGGAGAACAGGATGAAAACATAGCCATGCTCTCCCAAGTTGTAACAAGCATGATGAGGAAAAACAGAAATAGCAGGAGAGGTAAATCAAACTTCAGAAAAGTATGATGAATAATGAAAATGATAAAAATGATGGAAGATGCTATGAATGTGGAAAATATGGACACATTTAAGCTGATTTTCTGAACTCAAGAAGAAACTCAGCAGGAACCTTCAAAAGAAGAAGTCTTTTGGAGCCTGGAATGATGAAGAAGAATCTGACCATGAAGAAATTGCAAATATGTGTTTCATGGGCATAAAAGAAGATAACAATGAGGACTCAGGTGAACTTGGGCTCATGGCAGACGAAGGAGCAGATGAGGAAGAAGACTCAAGTGAACTTGGTCTTATGGCAGATGAGGGAACCAGTCGTGCGAAATAAAGCAAGACTAGTTGCACAAGGTTATTCACAACAAGAGGGAATTGATTATGAGGAGACATTCGCCCCTGTTTCCCGGTTAGAATCTATTCTCTTTTTATAGCTTATGCTACTCACAAGTATTTCAGACTATTTCAGATAGATGTGAAAAGTGCCTTCTTGAATGAATTCATCTCTGAGGAAGTTATTTTTAAGCAACCTCTAGAATTTGTAAATGAATCCTTTCCTAATCATGTCTACAAATTGTCCAAAGCACTGTATAGCCTAAAGCAAGCCCCTAGAGCCTGGTATGAAAGGCTTAGTTCATTTTTAATTGAACATGGGTTCGACAACGGTAATATTGATACTACTCTTTTCATCAAACGATCATCTCTCGGTAACTTAATTGTACAAATTTATGTAGATGATATTATTTTTGGCAGTACTAACACTATTTTGTGCAAGGATTTCTCAAACATCATGAAAGGAGAATTTGAAATGAGTATGATGGGAGAACTAACTTTATTCCTTGGACTTCAAATCAAGCAAGTATAGAAAGGAATCTTCATTAGTCAAAAAAGTACATGAAAGAACTCATCAAAAAGTTTGGTATGTCTAATGCAAAGGCCATAGGAACACCTATGAGTCTATCGACTACTTTGGATGAAGACAAAAATGGTAAGAATATTGATGAAACAATGTATCGAGGTATAATTGGCTCATTACTATATCTTACAGCTAGTCGACCAGATATTATGTTTAGCGTTTGCAAATGTGCTAGATATCAGTCAGCTCCTAAAGAATCTCACTTGACTGCTGTTAAACATACTATTAGATATTTGATAGGGACAATCGATTATGGTTTATGGTATGAAAATTTGGAAAATTTTGATCTCAAAGGCTTTTCAGATGCAGACTTTGCAGGAGATAAACTTGATAGAAAGAACACGAGTGGAACGTGACAATTACTTGGAAAATCCCTTATATCCTGGCATAGCAAGAAACAAATATGTGTAGCCTTCTCTACCACAGATGTGTATTATTTGGCAGTAGGCAACTGCTGTACACAAGTAAGGGGGCAGAAGGACCAGGAAAAGTAATTACCTACGTTTAAAGAACGCTGAGATAGAACGAAAGGAATTATTCGATCAATGATCCAGAGTTAGTTACGTTATGAACGCACTTCAGATTTCGGTGTATTATCCATGCAACATATATATTGACATTCATACAGCCGTAGAAGACTCCGGTATAAGTTAAAATAAAGAATTGAGTCCAGGTCATACACAAAGGATTGAATTATTAAAAGATTGTATTATGGATATTCCATAGCGCCCATGAAAGTCTAAAGTAATACCTAAATACTAGGAGCCGTAGATCAGAAGATAGCTTAAGCCTACATAAAGGTTGATCAAAGGGAAGAAGAAACTAAAGAGTTACATCAATTAAGCAAATCAAGAGTCTGATTATTGGACCCAATTTTTTTTGAAATCGTGATTGAAAACATTGCAGAATCACTCTTAATATCAGAGGTACAAGAGAGATAGTACAACAACCATATTCTATAACGATTCTACGATAAAGACAGTTAGAAGAGTACCAACCTCATAAGAAGTTAGTATGAAGTACTCACCGGATTGTGTAAAGAGGTGAAAGTATTATAATAGAGCTTCAAGTTGTAGATGTGAATCATACCTATGCAGAAGGGAGGTTATGAAAGGAATTGAAGATGTGAGGTGACATTTTAAGGTAAGTAAGGTAAAGGGAAACAATGTACGAGATACTCAAGTGCAGAAGGCTGTGAATAGTCCATACTTCAGATAGAGGTCTAGAAGCTCTGGATTTAGTATCCAGGAATGATAGTGCCGTCATTAGTGGCATTTCTTCCCAAACTATGTTTTCTACATATCGATAAGTCTAGTTAAGAGAGCAAAGAAGAGTTAGAAAAGATGCGATGTCTCGCTTGATGTTCCAGAATAACACAAGGAAATTATGGTGCAATGAAGTTAAAGGAAGGCTGCGAGTAGTATAAATAGATATGTGTAAGTCCCAAGCTAAAGTATGGTAAAGCGACAAGGTTTTAGGAAGACATGAGTAAGGATAAGAAAAGGCAAGTGAGAAGCTGACGAGAATAGATAAGTCCTCGAGATTAAGCCCATAGCTGATGGTTTCTCGAAGTTATAGAAAGTTCAGTATAACCTGAATGAACTCAAAGGAGTCTAAGGCTACTAGCATTTATAAAAGATGGGATGCTACCCCAGTAGTAGAATAAGGGTATAATTATGATAGATAAAGGATGACGTTTGGGCCTTGGATTGAGTAATAATTTGAAGAAAAAAAAGAGAGGAGGGATTTCATGAATTGTACATGATTAAAATACCCACGTAAGTGAATCACATTGGGATGCTATGAAATATGATTATGGAAGTATAGTATCTCCCTAGGTGGATCAGCCTAATCATTTCAGATATTCCTCGATTAGACGTGAGCCCTAGAGGCAGTGTTACATAATAGGTCAAGTTGTCAATGGTAGATTATAGATCAATATTATGATGAATCAATAATAGATGGATAAAAGTTCAACAGTAGGAGGTGAGATTATGCTATCATTATTGAGATGAATAGTAATGAAGAAGCATTTAATGACTACCTAGATGCAATAAAGTCATAAAGATGGATAATCGGGTCGATGAAATAAGATATAGCAATAGGCGTAAGTTCAACAAAGTACCGAGCGAAGAACTTTAGTATACCTATAGATGCCAGAGGGACATCTTGTCAAGCTCTATATATGTTTACAAAGTAAGGCCTAGAGATTGGCTAAAAGTTGGAGGAAAAAGGAGAAAAGAGTCGCATAGACGCACTTATAAAGTCAGAGTCGTACAGGCTGCATGATAAAATGTAGCAACAGTTATAAGATTTCAAAGATTCCAACCACAAGCCGCGGTACGAGAAAGAGGCCTAAAGGGGGGAATGCCCTGGTCTTTGAGTTAGTCGTCGAACAGTTACCTAGATGGCAAGAAGAGTACTAAAGTATTCGGAAGACATAGGTTATGAAAATGATAAATGTATCAGTCAACATTCGAGGAAGAATGTTCCAAAGGGGAAATGATGTTACACCCCATGTTTTCGTACGTGACAGTATGCCATAAGTAAATTTATGAAAGCTCGGAAATGAGATGCTACACCCGCATTTTTGTACGTTAAAGTTTCATCGTAAGTTAACCAACGTAAGTTCAGGAATGAGATTATTTTGAGATTATAAGCACTATGCTGTTTCAAACAAGTGATAAGTAAATTCATGAAAGTGAGAGGGTAAGAGAATTGAATAAAATAAGTTTTTTGAGATTTGGCATTTTAGGATCCGAGCTATAATACCCGATATTTATGGACTAGTGTCATACAAGGTACCACATGACCATGATAGTAAGGTGTATAAAGTGTGTTAAAAGTTAGTAGTATTTTAAGTAATTTGAGATAATTCTTAATTATGTGAATATGGTTTATTATGGTGTTTTGAGAGATTAACAATTTAATTGGATAAGCTTGGTGGAAACATTATGTGGCAGCCAATGAAAGCCAAAAGAATGACTCTTGAATCATACGACAAGGTGTCACATTTAAAAAAATTTATGACCAAGTCATCACATAGTGGGGCCCACACCAATTAAGAATAAAAAACCCTCTAAATCACTTAAGAAAGGTGCTTGAATCTCTAAATGAAGTGAATGGAGGTGTATGAGCTAACGTAACAGCTGATTAACCTTTCCTAAATACATTTCTTTGTTCATCTTTTCCACGTAAGAAATTTAGCTTCTATATGAATAGTACCTCTAAAAGTATACTATTTTGAGTATATAAACACAAAAAAGAAAAAGAAGCGTGAATCTAGATGAATCGAGATGCAATTCTATGAGAGCACGTTACAATCTTTCTCAATAATATCATACGGATTTTCGCCTACTTCGATCCACCGTTACGTGTTGTCACAATTGAAGTGTGTTAGAGGATTATCAAGAGAATTGGCTCAGGTATGTTAAGGCTATCCCTTCTTTCCTTTTGGCATGATCCATACGATACAACGAAACGAGCAAATGTACAACTTCCATAAATGACTCTATTCATAGAAATACTAGAGATGCTTACGTTCTTGATTCCCCATGTGTCATATTATTCTATCATCTGTTCATGGATCTTAGAAAATACGTAAATTGATAAAGTTTATTTTAATTAATCAGAGGCATAATGGAATGACGATCTGAAAGATTTTATTGAAGTACTTCTCATGCATTGCATTCATTTATATTGACTCATGACCAGATGACGTTATATACGCGTATATACACACACACACATATATATATATATACATATATATATATATATATATATATATATGTATGT